TAGAATGGTCAAATATGTTTTATGATAAATATTTAGTAAAAAAGAATGAAATTTTAGGTTGTCTAAAATAATAAAATATAATTTTGTTCCAAAAATTCAAACTAAAATTACTAATTTAAGCAATAGTAGTATTTTGGAAGCAACCAACACAACTTCATTAAATTGTTATTTTAATTCCTTGAAACTAGACAAAGTAAAAGAAAAGTCAGCAATTAATGCTGTTTATAGAAAATGGGATTAAAATTAAGAAAAAAATAAAATTGTAAATTATGAGACACTAACTACTGGTACTGATATTGATACTGATATTGGTATGCGTTTGAGGAAGGAAAAAAGGTGTAGGAGACAAAGGGGAGGGCATGCAAATGCAAATCCATTAACCACTCATATTATCTGTTCAAATACGTTCTTAATGAAGGTGGATTGGATCTTATTTTAGAGAACAAACATTTAAAACTTTTATTTTAGGGCTTGAAACAAACTTTCATATATTTAGATGTCTTCTTTATGTGTTCAGTTGGTAATCGATTATCTGAACATGATATGGCAAACAAAAAATTAATTAAAGCTTACATAAGAAATAAAAATAGTTACGGAAATTATTAATATAAGGAAATAACGAGCACATTTGATCAAAATAAAAATCAATACCGTCTAATCGTCTTGTTGCTTCTCCGGTTGTCGCCTTTTTCCTCTAGCCATTACATTTTTCCGTTCATCGCCTTCCCCTAGTCTTTGATCAACAACCCTAGATGACGAGGAGCTCAATAGATGTCGATACACTCAAGAATATTTCACTATGTACAAAAAAAGTATTTAAGAAATGTATTTAACCACTAAAATCTCCATGGAAGTAGAGTTTTCAGGAATTGAAATAGAATCTATCAAATGAATTGGAATCTATCTGTTTTGGTTCGTTGAATATAACTTTAAAGTTGTAATAAAACAAAGATAAATAACTAAAATACATTTTTATAACGTTTTTATATTTTACTACTCAAATTATAAATACTATATGATGATAAAACTAATAATAATATTAATTGATGACAGTGGTGTTGGTGGCGACAACTACAACAACAGTGGTGGTGGAACGATGACGACAATGACGGTGTTGATGGCGGCGGTGGTGACAATGGTAACGACAACGACAATGGTTGTGGTGGTGACGGTGATGGTAGTTGTAACACCCCAAAATCACATTTGCGTATAATCACATATTTCATATATCATGAAATACAAATTTACACATTTGGTCTTACTATATACAAAAGTTACATTAAAAAAGTAGCTACCAATTTTTTTTTTCATATTATCCCGGTACAAGACTTGTAACTGTAACAAGTATTCAAGTACAAAAAAAGATCATGTTATCCCAAAAATCCACATGCAAACAATCATAAATTCTTCATTCTCCTCCTCATACCAATGAGATAATACCCAATAACTCATAATAATCATAAACAATTATATGCTGATTTAAAATATTTAAGCACATTAATAAAACAAACCCTTCAACTTACCATCCTTATTTAAAAACAACCCCGAACTTTATAACTGATAACCCAATTATCACAGTAGTCGCGGTAGGATGAAATAGATTACACTAAATATAAGAGAAGAATTGTCTTTCTCAAAAAATGGCATGAATAGGAATAGGAATTGGAATCATTTACTAAAACCCAATGAATTTAAATTTTGTCATAAAACTAAAAACACAAACTAAACACATGTATGTAACTTAATTAATGATATTGATCATTTCATTTCCTTAAGCCAAACGTAGACATAAAATTCGCTAGATATTGAGTCCCGATGCAAAATTTAATCTTAAACAACTTAGGTTTTTCAACATAAGAAATAGGTATTCGTTGTATTTGTCATTTACAAAAAAACCCTTAATTAATATATAAAAAGATTTGCTCCAAAAATCTTCAAAAAAGAAATTCAAAATTGATTATCCAAAATAAGAATAAGTTTAAATTTAGCTTCTTTTTTGGTGTTACTTGACAAACATAAACTAACTTATTTTTTGAGCAAATTGTTTATATGCATATAAGCTAACTTATAAGGTAGCTTATTGATAAACTACTTGGAGTAACTTATGAAGAGGTTTTTTACACTTTTTTCAATTTCGATCTTAATTAATATTAATTATTAATTATAATTAAATATAAGTTTTTAATTATAAATAAATATTAATTATTAATAAATATCAATTTATAGCAATTAAAATCTGTTAATTAATTTTGATTATGCATTATATAGTAATAATTATTAATTATTTATAAATATTATTAATTATATCAGTTGTTGTTTTAGTTATTATTCAATATATCTAGTTATCAAAACGTAAATATAGCAATTCTAAAAATGTTTATACAAGTTATATAAAAATTAAAGTTGTACTTATTTTATTTCAAAGATGATTAAAATATGCTAATTAGTTTTAATAAAATATTTAGTTTAATATTAATTATATTTTTGAAAAAGTATTAATTAATTAGGATATGCGAGGTTGATCAATTTTATTTTTATTCATATTATATATAATTATTTAAAATCATAGATTAATGTAGATTTTTTCTAGAGAGAATTACAGTGGTGGTCTTTGTGGTTTGTTCAAATTTTGGATTTGGTCCCTAAAACAAACTACCTACTTTTGTGATTCCTAACTTTTTATTTTCATAACACTCATGGTCATTTTACTTAACGACGTTAGTTAACACCTTTATGAAAGACTAATCGATATTTAAACAAACTATAAGACCAAAAGTGTAATATGATCTAAAATTTAATACGATACACGTCTGACACAAATACAAGAAGACCGCATTCATTCCATTAATCGATTGAATGTTTATAACTATTGCACCGATAACGACAACTTACACAATTTCTCACCTCCGACTCCTTCATTTTCAATCGTTTTTTAGACCATGCAACCTAATAGTTTTAAAAATTATCTTCTGTTACAATGAATTTTAATCAGTATTTTAAGTGATATGTCAAAATAAAAACTATATTTTAATCAAATAACAACGAAGCTACACTAATTTATTAATTAAATAGTTATTATAAAGTAAAATAAATTACTTAGTTATTTTATATATTTCTCTTTTTTTAATATAAGTTTTAGAGATTTATCCGAATTTGAAGATTTCAACCCTCTCTCTTTCATTTCTTTATTTTAAAGCATCTCTAACATTTATGCTAAGATACTTGTTTTTGAATTTTTTTTTACTCCAACAGCTATGTTAAATGGTATGTTAAAAAGGGGAAAAGTCTAAAAAATCTAATGGACTTTAGTGTTTGAAATGATTAAGTTTTTGGATAATTTTTTGGAACAAATAAGTTATTGAACAATCCAATACATGTTAAATAACTCTTTGGACTTTCTAAGGCTTGCTAGATACATTCTTATGACCTATACAACTGGTTAATGTGGTAAAATAATGAAAAAAGTCTGAGAAAAAATCAATAAACTTTCATATTTTGAACGATTAAATCCCTAAAAAAATTTGAATCAAAAAATACTTACATCTATAAAATGAAATAAATATACCAAAAAAATAGTTACATTTACAAAAGATTATTGATAAAATTTATTTAATTAAAAATAAAATATATTCTATAAGTGAT